CCCCCCCAGTGTATGTTACCTGACGATTATTAGCCTGTAGACCGTCAACGTCTTATCCATCACCCAAACCAAAATCGATTTGTAAATCTGCGCGGATAAAATGCAGTCACGTTTTCTTCTGAAGAACAGGTATGTGATGAGAGTAGTGGCTCTGGAAGATCAGCTTCCTCTTCGCGTTTTCTTTGGTAGTTTTAGTCGTTGCAACCCAGAGGTAAGCTTTTTGTGAGGCTCTGTTATGGTTGCTTTCATTGTTTACTGAAGAAGAGCTTACTGTGCTGCTCTGTACCAGGCAAAAAGCGAGCAAAATCCTGTCTGAAGTACAAGGTAAAAAACTAAGACCCGCAATTATTCAGTTACCGTGGTCTCGTGTGGTAAAACCGTGCTTTACAGGCATGAAAAATGCCCTTAGCATGGACTTCACCTAAGGAAAACAAACCTGCAATGCTAACGCTGTCCTGGCCGTGCAGTGATAAATGTGCTTTGCGTCCCACGTATCAAAAGAAATTTCTCTTACTGTCCTGTTTCTTAAGTTTCATAATAAACTGTTAATTATTTTTAAATCCTTACCATTCCTGAAGAGCCAGGCAAAGACCTTGCAGTGTTAGTGCTCTGTTCCCCAGTTGGATGGCACATGCCAGCCTTCTCAGTGCTTCACTTGAAGATTGTAATTTGTTGCTTACTTTTTGAGTTCTTACTTCTTTGGCAGATTTTGTAATAGGGAAGAAAACAATCTTAATTTTAATTGGACATGTTAGAAAGAATATTTGCTTAGTATTGTTCAACATAAGAAAAGTTACAGTAAACTTAGAGCTTAACAGTTCCCCAACTCTGGTATATATCCCATCTGTGTTCTAAGAAATTGCTGAATTCCAGTGCATTCTAATACAGCCTTGTATTTTTTAATTAGCTTTCCTTTTCTTAGGAGCCTTGTGTCCACTTTGAAGCCTTTTTTTTTTATCTTTTGCATCATTTTTACAGCAGATGTGCCTGCGTTGGAGATTTTTGCCAAGGTCTTTAATTTTTCAATACAGCCACATTGACTTTCTGCAGTAGGAGATGCAAAAATGCTTATGTGGAACTTAACTGCTGAGTTAGTTGCTTGAAGTATTTACGTGGCCTTTGAGGAAGGGGAACACTATGAAGACTGGCTGGTGCTGTCAGGGGAAGTTAATTCTATCGAAATACTACTTTGAATAAGCCCTCAAGTTTGCAACACCTCGATGTAGTGGTAGTTCACTGTGCACATCAAGTGGAAGTCCTGCTTATTAATGTTTCTAGATGGAAGGCTGTCCGTGTTTCGTGTTTGTTCTAAACTGTTGCTTAAATCTTTGGAGTTGCTAACTTCTCTCCTGTGCCTTTGTTAAACTTTCAGCGGAAGAATATTCAGTTTATTAGGTTCTGGAAAGGCTGTAGTTGTGTACCATCAGATCTGTCCTGTGGGAAGAAGATAACGCCCTGTGTTGCTGTTGAGACTTTCTCAGAAAGCTCTTTTAAAAACAGCTATTTCCTGGTCTGAGATTCACCTGTATCTCCCACTTGAAACCTTTAAATTGGGAATCTGTGTGTTGTTGGGCTTTTATAGCATCAGTACTTTGAAACTGTATTTTTATATGGCTTTGACCTATAAAAATATTTGCCTGTTTTTTTACATAACTGACTAGCAGTAACCATCAAAGTGAAAAAGGATGGGATCTTATTATTTTAAAAGGTCAGCACTTATGGATTCTATACAGAATCCATCCTTTTTATGGAAGACCTACGTATCAGAGTATGAATTTATAACTGGAATTGAAAATAGTAAACTTAGCAAAGTATAGGTGAAAATAAAATAGACCCAGGCACGAAGCAAACGACCCTCGTAAGACAGGGTAGTAGATGGTGTATGCAAATGAACTCAGAAATCATAACTCGAATCCTGTATTAATGCAGTGCTAAAATTGCATGAGTAAGTAGTCA